TCGAGTGGACAGCTTCGCACAGCTTTTGCTACGAATGCAACATCACGTAATTTTCTGTTTTTAGTCAACTTTTGGCTAGATTAGTTTTGTAACTTCTCGGATATTTTTATTGTCAAGTCACTGTAATTTGTAATTTAATGCATAATATAAGAGTTCTCAATGATGACTATGATTTCCCAGACTATAAATTTTGTGAAAACTATATATTAGCTCTTATCTAAATTGTAGTTTTAATGGCGAAATTTTTAGCATAATTAGGCGAAGTTCACCGACATCGTGACATTAATAGGAAGTAATTTGTAATAATTGTGGTATTAAGCTTGTTGCGCGAAATTACAGGGTTATAAAAATGATTGCGAAGATAGGCCACCAATATTGTGAACCGTAATCCTAAATAAGTACGGATATTAGTACTTTATCGTTCGGGTGTCGAAATGTAATACGATTTTAATATTTGCAATTAAGTTGCCCGACTTACGAATAATATTACTTTAAAAACGTAACAGTGTCTGTATTACAATATTAGGATATATCAAGATTAGCGTGTTAGTTTTATTAGTTTAATGTTAATACTATAATGTTTATAAAGAAACTTCAAATTGCAACTATTTCACAGAGTTCGTTTCATCGAAATCATATAAAAGATGTGAAACAAATTTTGCTAACAACCTAATACAATAAAAGTACCTTGTGAGTGTCATTGAAACTGAAGATATAATGACAAGAAAATTTTTTTAAACGGTTTAAATATTCTAAACGAGAGAAATAATATACTTCTAACTTTTTGTAATTAGTTCAACAAGTCTTATGTCCTGTCTTTTTAAAGTTGAAGATAGTTTTTTATAAAAATAGAAAACAGTTAAAATATCTTATGTAGTAATCTCTGTCTCTTATACACATCTAGATGTGTATAAGAGACAGAGTCTTTATTGTTGATAGACTGATCGTGATTTCAAGTCTAAGCATAAATAAATATGTCTTATCTGTTTTATCAGAAATTTTGCAACATCGCATATCCAAATATGCTTTTATTTACAATATAGCCACTGTCCCTTTTACACATTTAGATGTGTATAAGAGACAGAGTCTTTATTGTTGATAGACTGATCGTGATTTCAAGTCTAAGCATAAATAAATATGTCTTATCTGTTTTATCAGAAATTTTGCAACATCGCATATCCAAATATGCTTTTATTTACAATATAGCCACTGTCCCTTTTACACATTTAGATGTGTATAAGAGACAGAGTCTTTATTGTTGATAGACTGATCGTGATTTCAAGTCTAAGCATAAATAAATATGTCTTATCTGTTTTATCAGAAATTTTGCAACATCGCATATCCAAATATGCTTTTATTTACAATATAGCCACTGTCCCTTTTACACATTTAGATGTGTATAAGAGACAGAGTCTTTATTGTTGATAGACTGATCGTGATTTCAAGTCTAAGCATAAATAAATATGTCTTATCTGTTTTATCAGAAATTTTGCAACATCGCATATCCAAATATGCTTTTATTTACAATATAGCCACTGTCCCTTTTACACATTTAGATGTGTATAAGAGACAGAGTCTTTATTGTTGATAGACTGATCGTGATTTCAAGTCTAAGCATAAATAAATATGTCTTATCTGTTTTATCAGAAATTTTGCAACATCGCATATCCAAATATGCTTTTATTTACAATATAGCCACTGTCCCTTTTACACATTTAGATGTGTATAAGAGACAGAGTCTTTATTGTTGATAGACTGATCGTGATTTCAAGTCTAAGCATAAATAAATATGTCTTATCTGTTTTATCAGAAATTTTGCAACATCGCATATCCAAATATGCTTTTATTTACAATATAGCCACTGTCCCTTTTACACATTTAGATGTGTATAAGAGACAGAGTCTTTATTGTTGATAGACTGATCGTGATTTCAAGTCTAAGCATAAATAAATATGTCTTATCTGTTTTATCAGAAATTTTGCAACATCGCATATCCAAATATGCTTTTATTTACAATATAGCCACTGTCCCTTTTACACATTTAGATGTGTATAAGAGACAGAGTCTTTATTGTTGATAGACTGATCGTGATTTCAAGTCTAAGCATAAATAAATATGTCTTATCTGTTTTATCAGAAATTTTGCAACATCGCATATCCAAATATGCTTTTATTTACACTATATACATTTAATATGTATCTTAGTTATTGATATTCGTAAGTATATTACAATAAACGTAATACTTCTGTATTTATATAAAGATATGTAATATATAATATTTTATATAAATATAAAGCAAAAATATTTTGCATGTCAGATATATTTATTTATGTCTTCGTTTAATACCATAATCAGCTTATGTAAAACGCGTGTCAGAGAGAATTAGTGTGTTTTACGGTTGAGAATATAAATATTCTTCAACCGTGTTCAGTGTTTCTAGGATCAACCCTTCTATTGTGTTCGCATAATCGTCACATTTCGCTTCTACAAAACTGTTTGGAGAAAAATAGTAATTAGAAAAATCAATCTGTAATTATCAGACTGCGGATTTCATGCATTTATATTAAAAAATGAATATAGGCCAAATAGAAAACTGCAAAGGCATTGCAAGAATTTAAGGATATTGACGCATCATTTTCGACTTATTAGAAACATTAAAAGAGAAAAAAACATTTTCATTTAATTTGCGTTCTACCCACTTAACTTATACAATTTTTATTTTGCTTAAAAATCCTCGGTCTCGTTTTTATAGTTGTTGACAATCGGTGACTATAAAAACAAGCTGCAATCTCTTCCCAAATTTTCCATTTTTGTGAGTAATTTGAGCGCAAATTAGGGAGAAATTACTGCATAATGTCATCAATATGTGATCTTCGTAACAGTGATTGTGTATACTATATAATCTCGTGTCATACCAAGAAAGAAAATTTGAATATCCCTTGCAGGACGATATCGATCGAAGCACAGTAAAAGGGTTAATGGCATTCAAAATGGAAACGTATTAAAATATCCTCTGAGAAGATTTTTCGTGTTTCCAGAAATAAACCACTTGCCGCAAAATACCGTGTCAGACACATGATACTAATTTTCAATGAAATCTACTAAACACGCGTGCAATTTGCTTCGTTCAAATCGAAATAAACTTCCGTAGATTCAATCAAAAAGTTCATTCCGAATTTGTATGGCATTCGTGAATGTGAATAACCACGATTGCGATCGCTTTAATCCAACTTCGATCAATGCAGCATAAAAAACACATGAACACCTTGCCGTACTTCTACGAGCCCGACTCGTGATGATTTCTATTAACCTCCTAAATTTCTAGTGACAACATATTGAGTATAGATGTTATTCTGTCCTTTAAAATTGGAATAAAATTCGAATCTCTTGTCATCAATATTTAAGCATTCAAGTCAATTTAGGCACGCAATAAGCATGAATTTTCTTTGCCGTCTAAGAAATTATTGCAGTCGAAAAGTTTTCAATCGCAGTAACTGCGAAGAAAATGGTTAATGACCTGTTAAGTATAAATGTTATTCAATATTCTTAAATAGGAATAAAATTCTGTTTCCTCATCATCAATACCACTCAGGTAAATATGTATAGACATAATAAATAATAAATGTTCTTTTTTCGTTTTAACACTTTGACTGCCGCAAAGCCTAAGAATATTGAACAAATCATTCATGTCGTACAACTTTACTTTGCCACTTTAATTTGACTAAATGAAAAACTTTACTTTTATGACTTAAATAAAATAAACTTTATTTTTCAAGTTGTGGCGTGGCGGTCAAAGCGTTAATAAACTATTACAATCTAGAAAATTCTAACCACTGTAACTGCAAAGATAATGGCACGGGAAGGAGTTAACTTCAAATTATCTGTTTTTATAAGTTCATAGTTCCTCATTGTAATATTTACAGTACCCTCACACACACACACAAATATAGCGTTTACTTTCCCTCCGGCCTTTGGATATTGTACTATTTAATTAATACTGAACATTTTCGCGTCTGTCGGTGAGCCTTTTACACATTGACAATTAAATGTTTTATCAACGACTTCTTGTAGACCTTGCGAACAACGTGGCAATTCGAAATAGGTATCTCTCGTGCAATTATTGAGATATTGCATTGTTATTATCAAAGATCATAACTGTTATGATCGATATGACAAAAATTATTCGATCACCATTATTATTTTGATTGAAAAATATTTTTAGTTAGATCTAATACAGTAAATTCTCCCTAATTGACCTACAGCTTGTATAAAAAAATGGTCGATTTGGGAAGAAAAGATACGATTATTCGAGCCTTGCGGCTCGTTTTTACAGTTACCGATTGTCAACAAATATAAAAAGTTCGAATAATCGTACCGCCTCTTGCCAAATTATCCAATTTCTATTTTCAAGCTGAGAGTCAATTAGGGAGAATTTACTATAGCCTATTTATCTCTAGTTTTCCCCTAAGTAGAAAAACGACGATCTAAAAAGATCAACCGAGGACCATCCGCATAACTCTTTCACCGACAGCCGTGTGTTCAAAGTAAATATTTTCCAACTACAAGCAAGTTGCCTTTTTACATTTATGAGGGTACGTTATTAAAATGTGGACCCATAGAGAACGAGGCTCTAGTTTTCCCTTATGGAAAAGGAGGGCCCGAGGCAACGGTGGAGAAAACCGTACGGCAAGAGGTTAAACATTTCAGCGTAAATTGTAAAAACGCAATATTAGCCTTAAAAAAAAAGGAAACAAAAAATTTTAGTCTAGCTAGAAATAGATGGAACTCCTTTTTAAACTGAAAAGCGTCCTCCAGCAAGGTTCATTGCTCGACCGTTCGAACCCGCTGGTCAGATCGCAGATCTTTCTACGTGCGTGACTACCTGCTAGGTTGTATCGTATAGTAATCGAGTATAACGATCATGTATCACTAACGTGCATCGGGGCGCTCGTCGGCGGCTCCAGAGCTTTGTCTGCAGATAGTCAAAGATAGGAACGTACGGGGACCTGAGGATGTAACGCCGGATGGACCAGCGTCGCATGTTGCAGTGTGCCCGGTAATTCTCCAGCTGTTGAGTACGCCAGTGGATGGTGCCACAATTCAGGACCACCAGGGAAGAATGGGCTCCCTAGATCTGCAATAGAATACGTGGTTAGTCAGAAAGCTTTACTGATTGCGCTGGCGTATCCGATCACCGATCGGATCGTTCGCGTCGATTAACACTAGAACCACCACTTCGAAATCACCCACTTAGGATCTCACTCTATCATCCTCTATCCCGTCGGGATCGGAAATTTCGTCGCATTGTTTTCGATGATCGAATGATTACTAGACTACGGAGGCTCAGTACCGAGATGTTTTCAGCGTAAAACGGCGGAGTTTTAATAGAAGCGAATTTAATTATTCGGAGACGCGACGCGATCTTTTAAGTTTTCGAGGCTAGTTTCCTCGGAGGACTAGATTATGCACCGAGACTTACATAATGAAAAAAATTAACAGTTTATTCTGTTTCTTTGTCGTGTGTATGGGTCGTTCGAGAAGTTGATTCATTTTTTTTTAAATTTTGTTTTTTAAGAGTGCCAAAAAAAGAAACAGTTATAGAGAAACACTCTTGATTCAGTATTTCGCCAATAAAAAACAACTTCTACGAACATAAAATTTCAAAGACACCAGAAAAATGTCAGAGAGTTGATTTATACTTTAAACATTAAAAAATTGTCTCATGCTTTCTCGTGAAAGAGCGAAACAACTTTACGAATGATAATCAAATTACAGTAAATTCTTCCTAATTCGCACTCAGAGTGCGCACAAAAATGGCCAATTCGAGATTATTCCAGCTTCGCGACACGTTTTTACACTTGTTGACAATCGGTAACCATAAAAAACGAGCCGCAAGGCTCGAATAATCGTATCTCCTCTTCCCAAATTGTCCATTTTTATGCGCAATCTAAACGCGAATTAGGGAGAAATTACTGTATTTTTCAAGTCACATACAATATTGTGGTATAGATACGAAAAACAGAAACTTCGACTTCAAAGTAATTTTATTTAATTATAGATGCTTTTTGATGTTGTCGCGTCTCGGACGTCATTTCTGATCGTCATCCCCTCCCCCTCCCCCGCTTGTCGAACAATCTCAAGCATTTAATGCATTTTATTATCAATTACCAAAATTCGGAAGTTCGTGTGTTTATCCTACTGGTGGTCGGTGGTAGGCGAACCAGGGTAAAATTGAAAATTTTTGAAGTAATGAGAACTCGATAGACATACAACACTTATATGTATAAAAAGCGCGTCCCTTGTTGCGACAGAAATATTTTTTCTGGCAACACAGCATCTGGACATCGCGCCATATTCATCTCGAAACAATTTGGTCGCTAAAGCGTTGTCAAGTGGTCAAACAAATATTATTTGTCATATATTTATTATCCGTCTTTATCGTATTTTTTGACACACGTATTCTTCCATTATTTCAGTTGATTTAAGCAATTATTTAATTTAAAATGTGAAATTCTTTGATGAGTGCACTCAATTCCTTTTCGCGGATAACATAAATGTTGAGCTTTATTTACCAAATCATGTTTGAATTAATGCACTTCATGCATTTCTGTCAAAGTACGATTTTTATCCAATGCCAGGTGAACAATTGTGCTTCTAAATATAATTCCTCGGAGTTTACAAAATCGTCTCTTCGACTGCTCGATATTTTCAGCGTGCGCCAAGTAGTTTGATGTAATTATGTCATATTACGTAGTGATATCGTATCGGAATAACCAAAAATCAAATATAGCCTCGTGCAATAGGAAAATAACACGGAATTAAAAGATTCTCATAAAATAAGTTCAAAAGCTCATGTTTAACACTTCAGCTATTTATTTGCGTTTAAGTTTTTATGAAAAATGATGTGTAAGAATTTAAGCATGTCTCCTTGTTACGTTAACTTTCCACCATACGTTGTGAAAGTGATCTAATTTATATAATTGGCTCAAACATTATAAACTTGGCTAAAAGTTCTTAAAAGATCTGTCAACATTTGTGAACAGAAAACTGAATAGATAAAGTTAAATTAACTTTTACACACATACGTATGCAAATTAATGAATATATGTATATTTGAAAATTACGTAAACAATTCTCAGAAAGTATAATGCAATTTCTTCAGAAGTGATAGGCGAGGCATTTTTGGGACACCCTGTATATTTATAAGAATTTCTAAATGCAGTATCGCTATTTCAGGGCGTATACAGTTTTAACAGAAAATAACAACAGCGACGCGCGAAAATTTCATGGAAAATTTCGAATTGACACGCTGTCAATCATCGAGCAACTACACACGGTGTCAACTGTACCTTACGGCAACTTTTACCAACACGGATTGATATTTCCTGTTTCAATTAAACCACGGTTATATGCATTTCGTGAATAAATTACGAATGCCTGTGCACCGGTAAATAGTGAATTTTCTTCGTAAAGCATGTGACACGCGAACCGAGCAACTGTCACGAAATAATAACAGTCAGTCAAAGCATTTCAATCGATCTAACAACTCGTGGCTATAACACAACCTGATCGCGTTGAAAGAGACAGTCAATCGTCGCCCGTAACTGCTTTCCACTGAAAAATTATTCTAACCGCTGATATGCATCATCGATCAGCTCTCTCTTCCTCTGTGCCATTCATTTCTCGACATAATTTGATGATTCTTGTTGAATGTTACCTCGATTGAACTTTAATGTAAATAAACTGTTGCAACAATTACGATGACCACCAAATACCATCATTTTAACCCGTTTGGTTGGTCACACCTGAGAAAATGTTGTTTTCTTAGTATTAATATTAATTTTAACATTAATAATCAATTATTAATATTAATAATAATATATATTTTTATACTATTATTATTATTAACATTAATATTAATTAATTACTCGTATTAATAATAATATATATTTTTATACTATTATTATTATTAACATTAATATTAATTAATTACTCGTATTAATAATAATATATATTTTTATACTATTATTATTATTAACATTAATATTAATTAATTACTCGTATTAATAATTAATATTAATATTAATATTATTAATATTATAATATTGTTTCGTAATTTATGTTCATTTTCTGAATTTTCTAATTGCAGTAAACTCTCCCTAATTGATGCTCAGATTGTGCACAAAAATAGACGATTTGGGAAGAGGAGATGCTATTATTCGAATCGTGCGGTTCGTTTTTATAGTTACTGATTGACAACAATTATAAAAACGAGCCGCAAGGCTCTTCCAAAATTGTCCACTTTTTGTTCACAATCTGAGCGACAATCAGGGAGAATTTACAGTATCAGGTGTTACAAAATTTTCATAACGGGTTTGATATTTCTTCGCTCGGGTACACACAACTCTTTTGGCCGGCACTAAAAGAGTTAAGTATACATAAAGAACAGTAAGTGAAAGCACCTGAAAGCAAAGTTCAGAATCGATACTACTGGATATACGATGATTAAACTGCGGATTTTCTGTATTTATAACGATAATAAGGAGATGGAACTCGAAACAGCGCAGAATAATTGAGAAGTTTTAAGAATATTCCTACACTATTTTCAGTTTAATGAAAATGTAATCAAATTTGTGTTTTTCGTAACGATTCGCAGTTCAGTTGCATAATATAGACTGCAAATTTTATTCCCGATATATGGAATTTACTGAAATACGATAAAATTGTTCTTGAAAAATTTCACTTGAAGAATTTTAGCAGATGCTACCTGTCGGTCTAATTGCTGAACAGTTAACTGTTAAAATGTCTTTAAAATATTTTTCATCATCTACATATTATGCCTTCAACCCTTAGAGGACGGACTTTGAGGAGGCCGAAGCTGGGTCATTTTGTGACCCGTGGCAAAATCAAGCATAAACAGATTTCAATGTGTAAACAATAAAAATCTATATACAGGGTGTCTCGCCTAAAATTGTTATCTTCTATTATCATCTAATGTAATTGTATGTCTCTACCAAGAACTGCAAATAAGAAGGACAGAAACATGAATGTTCGTTTATATTTTTTCAGAAATTAAAGTCTTAAGCAACCCTCTTGTGCCTCGAATCCTATTCGTAGCAACAGCCTTCGTCAAACAAAAAACCTGGCTAGGTTCGATGTTAACACTAGATTTAGGGATCACCAAAAACAGCTGTTTTATATTAGTTTGTAAAAGTAACGATAAGAAACATTTATTCTGATTTTGAACAGCCGTAACATTTGCCGTAAATAACATATAAATTGGATAAATAACTCGTAAATGCATCTTTACGACATGAATAATCGTAAATTAAAAAATTAGAGACCCGTCATCCTGACGGATTCCGTATATCTAGTGTTAACTAGAAAATGGAACGAGAACGTCACGCTCGACTGAATAAGTTGCAAAATTGCTAAACTTTCACGACGAAGAAACGAGTATATTTCTGTCGTAAGGTCTGCTCGATGAAACAATTTCTGTTCTTTGATTACTAGGGTGAGTTGATCGTACGTCATGTAATCACTCGGCCCCTTTGACACTCTCTTCGTTCCCACCTTCGTACAGGCAGACCGGCAGTGCTAGCACGTATTATATTCGCGACTCGGTGACGAGGGGTGTCTGGCGTACCAGCAAAATCAATGCAAATCGGTGCAAAGCGGCTTCCACGAAACCGTTTGTTCCTTAGAGCCAGCGATACGTCACGAACGGGCAATTATACCGCAAAGATTGCCGAGGAGTGACCACGGTGCCCATCAAGACGCTTTGTTACAATGTTATAGCACGATTCGTTGCGGAGTGCTCCAATTCAATTTACGTCAAGGTGAGCCAATAAGCAGCGAGCAGGTCTCCCAATTTTTCATTTCAAATGCAAATAGTAAATAGAAAATCTGTATGCAGTTGAACCTTAGTTATCTGAATTATCGATATCCCAGTTCTTTATTGTCTAAATATATTGTATATGCAAATACGGCGGCTTTTATAAAACTGATCGCACGGCTTTTAAGACAGAAGAACTTTTTTTATAATTGGAGCAAGCGATCTGAATTTTGTTGGGACATCAGAGGGATTAGTTTACTAGGCAATGGCTAGAAAGTTGTTTTCAAAAATTGCAATTG